TTTTTTGCTTTGACGTTTTTCACGTTGTTTTAAATAAGCATAAATGTGAAACGACAAGGTTTTGTTTTGTTTTCCTTCTCTTTTGCTTGATTTCAGGTATATCTACATAATGGGAATCCAAGAGAGAAATGAAAAATTGTTCTACAGGGTATTACAAGATGATATCGAGCGGTTAATGCCAATTGTATACACACCAACAGTAGGCCTTGCCTGCTCCCAGTACGGACACATCTTCAGAAGACCAAAGTAAGAATAACAAATACATATTGCTGCTACTTTTATTATCATTTTCTCTGTATACTTACCTGAGGTTTGGAAATGTTTTGTTTTCATTTGGGTTCAGCTGTACAAGAGTTATGGCAATTCAGTTCCTTGAGGAAGCCAGTTCTGACTGGCGGTCATTTCAGGTCACTTCCATGATCCTCTCGCTGCAAATAGAATCATAGAATCATAGAATGGTTAGGGCTGGAAGGGGCCTTCAAAGGTCATCTAGTCCAACCCCCCTGCAAGGAACAGGGACATCTCCAACTAGATCAGGTTGCCCAGGGCCTCATCCAACCTGGCCTTGAACGTCTCTAGGGATGGAGCATCCACCACCTCTCTGGGCAACCTGTTCCAGTGTTCTACAACTCTCATGGTAAAAAATTTTTTCCTAATATCCAACCTGAATCTACCTTCCTCTATTTTAAAACCATTACCCCTTGTCCTATCACAACTGCCCCTCCTGAACAGCCTCTCCCCATCTTTCTTGTAGGCCCCCTTGAGGTACTGGAAGACCGCTATAAGGTCACCCCGGAGCCTCCTCTTCTCCAGGCTGAACAGCCCCAACTCTTTCAGCCTGTCCTCATAGGAAAGGTGCTCCAGCCCTCTTATCATCTTCGTGGCCCTCCTCTGGACCCTCTCCAACTGGTCCATGTCCTTCTTATGTTGGGGGCTCCAGAACATAAAAATAAAAGTGTATTTCTAGAGCCCTCTCACTTGAGGGCCTTACTGCTGTGTGGAGCAAGGGCTAATCCTTTGCTGCCGTGGGCACTTGGCTGCACAGCAATGAAAAACTCATGATTTTGCTCCCAGTCTGGGCCAGGGGATGAGAGATGTGCTCTTAGTTCTCACATACCTCCTTTCCTCTTCCACGTCTCTGCATGTATTACAAACCAGTTTGAAAACTGTCCTCCTCCAGAAGTTGTCTGTACAAGAAACAGCGGCACGGTCTGAAACTCAGGATGTGCCCCTTTCTTTCCCAGAATCAGCACTTTCCAAATGTTGGTAACTTCTCTGCCGAGCCTTTTGTGCCCACTTTCCTCCTAACCACACAGGGCTTGCTCAAGCAGAAGAAACACAAACACTTCTCTCACCTCTGCTCCTTTCTGCTCCTTTGCCTCCCTTCCCATGTTCAAGGGAAGCACTGTTATCCTCCTGGTCTTGGAGAAGACAGTCTGCTCAGTCCCTACCTTTCTCTCTCCTTTCTTTTCTCTCCCCTCACCTTGTGTCATGTCCTGCATGGAGATTCACTAAGGTAAAGCCAGGCTTAAGATCATGCTCCCTTCTCACATCCTTACAGGGAAGGATAGATCCTGTCATGTCTGACGTGTTGGAGGTGTTTTGCCCTAGAGAAGTATTAAAGGTGAATGTCTGTAGTAATGTAAAATCCGGGTAACATCATAAAAAGTGTTCTATGTGTTCTTCTTTTAGAATGTCAAAGTATCCGAATAGACTTGTGTATTAGAAATTGTCCTTGGTGCAACTTATGTCAGTGATTGCAATGCTTTCAATTTTAAGAAAACTTTACTGTTTGACATTTAGTTTTACAAAATAAGGTGAAATTTCTAGTCACCACCTATACAATATTTCTGCTTTGTTTTGTTTTTTCTTTCAGAGGACTGTTTATTTCTATCTCAGACAGAGGCCATATCAGGTCAATTGTGAACAACTGGCCAGAGAATGACGTTAAGGTACTACCACTTACAACTTTTTTCCTAGTTGTTATTTAATCTCAGTTGAGCTTCTTCAGATTTTTTAGTATTTGATGGAAATGTAAATGCTAAGTAATGCATCCTTGGCAATTATTTGACGATGATGGCAAAATACAGCTAAAGAGGATAATATGTATCTTGAAGAGCAGTGTGTTATCCTAAGTAGGAGGTTTATGGTTTGAGTCAACAGTGGTGATGAGAACTAGACTTGCCAAACTTCTCGTTTTACTTCATTATTTCACCTTTTGGGGAGGTGTTGGGGATGCACCTCTGGGTCTTACTGTGTTACACGGCAGTAGGAGAGGTGATCATGTCCTCAGATTAGGGCACAGAAGTGGTAGTTGGGATGCCCAGGTTTTGCCATTAAAACCCATGTAACCCAACTGGGTTGAGAATTGCAAGGGGACAGGAGGTGAATGATACTGATCCAGACTTTTTGCTGTCTGGATTTACGAGTGGAAATCATAACCCAAAGTTAGAAGCTGCTGTTCCACATGGTGGCTTGGATTCTTCCCACGTAGCTTTCAAGGATTTGGGCAGTGGATTTCAGCAAAGAAAAATGATCCTGGCAGATTCTAACATTAAGCATTATTACTTCAAGTAAAATATTCCTTGTAATCTCTTCTTTGATCGACTGCACAAACATACCTGAATTTTTGCCGGGGAAAAAAAACACAGCAAACAGTTCATATCACTTTGAACTTTACAAATTTCAGTGATCATGTGTAACTTCACCTGCTTTTGTTTTCAGGCTGTTGTCGTCACTGACGGAGAAAGAATATTGGGTCTTGGAGACCTAGGTGTGTATGGGATGGGAATTCCAGTAGGAAAACTTTGTTTGTATACAGCCTGTGCAGGAATACATCCAGATAAATGCTTGCCTGTGTGCATCGATGTTGGAACTGATAATACCGTGAGTATGACTGAACTTTCCCTGCTGCAAGTTATCCCTGTGAGAAGTATTTATTTAGGAGTGTTTAGTATTATAAGAGAAGATTTTTATTTGAGCACTTTCATTTAAGATAGAACCAAATATTTAATGGGAGGGTAAAGGATTTGGAATTCACTATACAATTACATGTCAGCAATTAAAAAACACCAGTTAATTTGTCAGTGAAATAGTGCATTCAGAAGTAGTTTGAATGCTGGAACGCTGTAAAAGAGATAATCTGTCAGGTTGACCTGACTTTAAGAAGCTGGAAACGTGAGTCAGATCTATTAAAGCAGTTTATTGTTCACGGTATTGAATTGTTCCATTTTAAAAGCAGCCATCACCAACCTCAAGTGCCAGATGAAATCACTGGACATCGATACAGACTGGAGGCAGTTACAGTGGCTATATAAATGCAGTGTCTTTGGTGTAGAATGTGTTACTGTGAACTCTGGGAAGTGTATATTGAGGAAGCGATTCATCCTGCTGCTGTCTTTGATTTATTCTTTTTCAGACACTCCTAAAAGATCCATTTTATATGGGTCTGTACCAAAAAAGAGATCGCTCGCAGGTCTATGATGACCTAATTGATGAATTTATGGAAGCCATTACAGACAGGTATGACACTGAATATTCTGCACGGAAGTATGGCCAAGACCTCTGGCAAAAAAGCCCCATAACACACTGTCCTTGAAAGAGTCATTTAAGAAATCAGGGTAGGGCTAGAAGTCAAGAGACACGGCTGTATTTCTGGCTCTCTAGTGATTTTCTCTGTGGAACATGCTGCTTGTAGTTATCTGTTAAATATGCACAGAACGGAGGTGAAACTGTTGCAAGGAGTGAAAGGCCTGAAGACGTTCTCTTCCAAAGATAATGGATTACATGCAGGATTTGTTCTAAAAGGATTGTATTTCTTTATGTGTCTAGTGATAGGAATATTTGCCATGTTCTGTAGGTATGGCCAGAACACACTTATCCAATTTGAAGACTTTGGAAACCACAACGCTTTTCGTTTTTTAAGAAAATACAGAGAGAAATATTGTACCTTCAACGACGATATTCAAGGTATACCTTTTGCATATGTTCCTTAATGTACATGCAGAAACTAATCTGCCACGTAGACCTGTTCAACTCACCTTAGATTTGTACTGCTTTCACAGGGACAGCTTCAGTGGCCTTGGCAGGACTGCTGGCAGCACAGAAAGCCACTGGTAAACCACTGGCAGAGCAGAAGGTGCTGTTCCTTGGAGCAGGAGAGGTGAGCTCTCTTAATGGCTCTAGAGCAATAAGAGATTTAACCATGTGTTTTCTGGTTCTGTGGGACTGGTGGAGATTCACATGCTCCAAATTCGGTTACACAACTTTTTGCGTGAGGCCACGTGAAACAGAGGACCACCTGCTTCAAGATGATTATTTGAAAGGTGTTCAGCATTTGCAAGGACTTACATTTTTCACTTTCTTAGATGGACTTAAAAATTAAGAATCAGAGACTTGTGTGTAATTGAAGGGGAATTTACTGTAAAATTGCGATTTAGTAAGAAAGTGGGGAAGAACATCTGTTAATTTTTATGGCATTGGAGAGAAGTACAAAGTGGTTTTCTTAGCAAGTTAAGCCAGTGGCTGTGCGCAGCAGACAACGGTTAGTTACTGGGGCAGCAGTATCAGAACCAGCACCATGCTTCTCGATCAGCAAAATTGCTTCGATGGTGCTGACACAATAACTTAATTAGCTGAAAATTTCTCCAGCTGGGGAAAGTCCAGATTGCAGTAATTGGCCAGTGTTGTGTTGTTGCCTGAGCACTGAGCCCTGCTCTGCACTTCCCTTGACCTTGTTTCTCCTGCCAGACTTAGCAGCATGTGCAGCGAGCCAAGAGAAGGGACGTGGAGGGCAGCACTGTCAGCGTCCACTTTCTGCCCTCTGCCTGCAAGACCTTTATCACAGGCAGCAGGAGCAGAAGGAGGTTTGGGAAGCAGTTGGGCACAAAATACTTCGCCATGGTTGCTTGGCAGGAAAGCTGCAGCACAGACTTGTTCTTGCTGTCTGGTTGGGCTGCTTTATTGTGGCTGCTGAGCTGCTGCAGGCATGGGGGCACAGTACCTGGGAAGGCAGCCCCTCTCTTTTGCTTGAAGACGTGACGCTGTTGATCTCAGGAGCCTGCCCCCACCTAGGCGAACGTTGCTTGTGTTTCAGAGCTGACTTTCTGCACGAGTTTTGTGGGGATCTTGAACAGGGTGGTGTTTGTGATGACGGGCCTCTTTTGTGACTTGTTAAAAATCAAAGTCCTTTTATCCACAAGGCTGCCCTGGGAATTGCAAACCTCATTGTTATGGCTATGGTAGAAAGCGGCGTTTCTGCGGATGAAGCCTACAGGAGAATATGGATGTTCGACAAATACGGCTTACTGGTTCAGGTAGGGCTGACTTGAAGTACCAGAGTACAGATGGCCAGTGCTTTCCGCATCCTTCTCACAAAGAGAATCGACTTTTTATCTCTAGGACCGAGAACAAAAGGTAGATTCCAATCAAGAACCATTCACGCATCGGGCTCCAGAGCAGATACCAAAGTCTTTCGTAGAGGCAGTGAACATACTTCGGCCTTCAGCTATCATTGGTAAGTAATGTCATTTTTGTTTCTGTGTTTCCATCATTTGGTTATTTGCTGCCTTTAATTTGCTAATGTGACTCCAAGAAGGTTGGTGACAGTGATCTGCATTTCTGCTCTTGTAAGTAGGATGAAAATGTGAGGTCTGTTCTCTGCTTGAAGGTGTGCAGAGGCGCAGGTTATCTCTCAGTGCTTCGTCCACTGCAGCTGTGGTGCTCCTGCATCTTGTGTCCTTGTCCAGCTGGTGCTGGACCTTAGACCTGAGCAGGACTGCGTGGCCGTAATGAGCTGAAACTGTAATGATGGGCACTAAGAGTCAGGAAGACACAAATATGACCTTTTTCCCAGGCACATTCCACAAAGGAGAGAACAGTCACAAACACTGCATTTTTTGCTTTACAGGAATTCCCTAACTTGAGCAATTTTTTTTTCCTGACCTTCTTTCCCCAGTCAGCATCTCTGGCCAGAATCTGCCAGCAGCAGGGCTCGAAGGAGCTGTTTCATCCTTCAGATCACCAATACCTATTAAGTCACTGACATGTGTAGGTATTGATTTATAACTGTGTCTGTCTGCAGAGCTCAGATGGATCACAGGTATTTCCTGGTGCAACTCTGCAGTTTCCTTTGCTCGTGATTTATTTGGATAATAAAAGGTTTTTTGGCTGAATAGCTGCCCTGAAGTTTGTAGCTGGTGTACAAATGTACACTATTTTTATGTATTTGTACCTGTGTGTTTGGGTGTGATCAGAAATACCAATGTCAAGGGCATGTGCATTGCACAGTTGACACCCAGCTAGGATGAATCATCTGTGCAGAACCTGGCGTTCCCGCTTGCTTACTCGGGGTGGCAATAACTGTTCTTTACACAGATCAATACCAAAAAAAAACCCAACATTAAAATAGGCTTTTGGAGCACATTAATTAAATGTTCTTGTGCAAATGAGAATTCTAAGTGGCCACTAACAGAGCCATGCCCAGTTTGCATCTCCTACTAGAAGAGCGAGCGATGCTTCGCTCTGAGTGGGTCTTTGGGGGTGACACGAACTTAATCTGCAGTCCTTGTCGTCTGCCCTGAGGCAGTCTGGTACTGATTCTCTATTTCTATGTTTCCATTGACTTCAGGAGTTGCGGGAGCTGGGCGGCTCTTCTCTGAGGATGTGATCAAAGCAATGGCCTCTATCAACGAGCGACCCATAATATTTGCCCTCAGCAATCCCACAGCGAAAGCTGAATGCACAGCGGAGGAAGCGTATACGCTTACAGAGGTATTGTCGTGTTTGGAAATTTTGACCTATTGGCATTTAGTGATAGAACTGTTTACTGACCATGAGAACTCAAGAACTCAAATTATTTTATTATTACTTGGACTTACTGACACAGTAACGCAGATGGATCTTGTCTTCTGGCAAAAGTAAATAGAGGTGATTGGAAAAGGTCTTGATCTTTAAATAATGACGTTCTGCAAAACTTAAAAGGGCCTGTACCTTGTAATTACTTTTTGAAAGAATGGCCACTTGGTATTGTTTCCTCAAATTTTAATCAACTGACTTTTTTCCACCATGCTTTTTAATTATTTCAGGTTTTAAAGAAACATCTTATGTGAGCATCGTAGTAGAGATTAGGTCCAACTCTTAAAATGTAGTGTCTGAATAAAGTCCTTAAAGCAGGTAATGTCCTTCCATCAATCCAGGAATTCTGCTTTATACTCAGTCATTTCCTAGTGTCTGCAGGTCAGACCTCCTGTCATTAATAGTGACCCGTGAAGACCTGTGCTTCCAGTGCAGGAGTCAGTGGTGGCCCTCTGCCCTCGTGTCTCATACACTGGCACCACCAAACGTTGAAAGGAGTGAATCAAGAATAAACACACCTTGTTCTGCACCATTGCTTCAAAGCCGTTACACTGAGGGGTGCTTGGGCAGGGTTGGAGGTTGGGGTTTTGGGGTGGGTTTTTTTAATAACACTATCGGCAGCGCATCCAGATCCTGGTTTTGCCTTTAATGAATCAAGTATTTTATCCTCTGCACAACTTCTGTATAAAACTAACCATCTTTGAAGAGGTCCTGAGCGGAAGACAGAGCAGACAGGCAGTCAGAGCGCTGGCTTTAATGCTGTGAACTGGCTGGTAATGCCTTGACTGAACATCATAGGCTCCAGCTTGCTGTGATCTCTCCCCTGTCCACAGGGCCTGCCTGCAGCCTTTAGGCATGGGGGCTGTGAAAAGATTTTGGGTTTTCTTTTCTGTTTTTTTTTTTAATACAGTCCCAAATCAAGTGACTCATATATTTGAAAATGAGTGGGTGGAGATCTTTTCTTGTTTCATAGAATCGTAAAATGTTTTGGGTTGGAAGGATCTTTAAGGTTAAAGACCGTCCAGTTCCGCAGTCCCTGCCATGGGTAGGGACACCTCCCGCTACACCAGGTTGCCCAAAG